AAAAAAATACACTTCGATATCACTGAAAGCATTCTTCAAACACGAAGCGTTCAGCAGACTGGTCACATGACCTTGCTCTACCTTTAGTTGGTTTTCCATTTAACCCACAGTTCATTGGCATGTTGATAAAGCGGCCTTGCGAAAGATAAATGTCAGATTGGTTCAAAATTCGCAACGGAGTTCTTCAAGGCAATGCCGATTTCTGTTATCGTTATCCAATCACTGCAGCACACAGCGAGAGGATAAATAGCGCCATTTAAAACAACACTATGGGCCATTGATATAACCTCATTTCTCAGGGACTGTCCTGAAACAGCTCAACATTTTCTGCGTAAGTAGAACATGAGCATTTCAATCAGGATAAGTCTGTTCTGATTATCCCACCATGTGCTTGCATTCTATCAAATCCAGAAACTGCGGAGCCGCACGATTTAACGTTGCTCAATTTTCTGCAGTTTCTTCATTTTGTAGTTGTCTGGTGTACATATCTATTTACAGTGTCATTATGTGAATTGTTCTTATCTTCTGTAATATGACCGTATGTGATATTTTTCTTTTACTCTTCTATTTAACAATCTACCTGTCGCAAGTACACTGCGTCCAGTGCTTCTAACATTGCTTCGCTACGCAGAAAAGTAGAATTCGTCGGTTTTATATTTAAGCAGTAAAATAATAGGAGTATACTGTTTCGAAGAACGTCCTTTCGAAGCAATAAAAAAACGTAAAAGGACAGTGTAACCGCCTGGATGTCGATCCCCTTTACACATTGTTTCACTTTCTGACAGCTCTCAATTTGGCAGGGACATCGCATATCTCGGTCCCTCTGCCATCAGCCAGGAGGTACCTTCTTTTTAAGGCAGAATCCACAGCTGTGCAGCAAGCCTAGTACGTACTCTCCTGTTTCCTGTCCACGGAGTGGTACTTATGTATCAACCTTGAAAGGAAGAAAGGCGAGTGACCCTGACAAGAGCTCGAACCTTATGGACTCGCGACTACAAGACTCGCGGATATGAGTCAGACGTTCTACCGACTGAGCAACCCGGCCTAGAACACGAAAAAGACTATCATCTGTCAACGACACATCTTTCGTATATTCAAATTTTCGGGTTCCGCAGCATATGTTGCACTACATCATAAAACGACAAAGCGTCTTTTATCCTCTTTGGGACAACATACATCTGTTTAACAATGCATCCCACATCAAATCTATTGCTAGATGAACACCTCTCAAATTTTTTGTCAAGCAATCTGCCCCCTGCAACCTTAATCTTCCCTGCTCC